CGTGGCCTGCCCCGCTCCGGCTTCGCTGCCGGCTCTGCGCCTGCTCGGCCCTGGGCGCAACGCGGCGTGCTCGGGACCCGGCCGACGCCTCTGGCTGTGGGATCGAACCCCGCCTGGGCGGTCGCGGCCTGAGCGCGGTGCTGACCCGGCTGGATTGGAGCCCGCAGGCTCAGGGCGCCCCGTGGGCTGCTACTGCCGAGCTCAGCCGGCCCGGCATCGTGGGCAATGCCCCGACAGCCTACGACTTTGTTCTGGAGCCGTTGCAGGACCACTGCTCCGCCAGTCCCGGGGGCGGCTCGGGAGTGCTAGCAGGCCATGGTCGGGGCCTCAGTGCAGGACAGACCTCCCAGGAGGCTGCGGCGGGCTCAAAAACGGCTGGGCTCCCACCGAGGGTCGCGTGGGTCCCCGCAGCTTAAACCCAGCTGGGCGCGTGTGCCTGCGCCCTCGGAGTCCCAGAGGAGCATGGAGGAGAGAGGATTGAGGCGAGGAGGCCGCCCCCTGGGGTGATTTCTCCCTTGCTGTCTCTGTCTCTGCCTCTTCCCCCTTCTCCCCAGCGGCTGGCCCTATAGCAAAACTCTCAACAACAAAACAGCGCATGGCCCTATAGCAAAACTCTCAACAACAACAAAAAAAATCAGGCGTTGATCTTTGACCTGTTTAATTAATTAATTGATACCTAGGTGTGAGGCTGAAACCTTGGTTTTCAAACTTGGGTGTGCATTAGAATCCCTGGAGAGCAGATGGTCAGGTTAAGGCACTGGGTCCTACATACAGAGCTTTGCGGTTCGAATCCCGCACCCAGCGGCTTGAGAATAACTCTGGGAGTGTGCGTGCGTGCACAAAAATCAGGAAAGAGGGGAGGGAGGCCTTCCCCCCAGGAAGATGATTTCTCACTTTCTTTCTCTCATCTCTCTGATGAGAAAGTGATTGCTAGGATCTACATTAAGAGGGTTTTAGTACTGAAAGGCACTTGGAATAGAACAGTTTGAAATAAGTAATGAAGGAGTTATTTAGAAGTTTATACTCTTGCGTGTCCTTCATTTAACCAGTTGGTAAAATACACTATTACAAAAACATCCCAAATACATAGTCTTAGCAAAAGTAGCTAAAATTGTGGCAGGAAAAATGAAACAACGGCCAGAGACAGTGGGGGCATGTGGCATGGTCTTGAATTTCTGCCCCAGAAACCAAGAGGGCATTGTTTAGACGCCTCCTCTCTCCTGCCAGCTGTCTCGGCCAGCTTTGGTTTCTTCACATGCAAAATAAGGAAGCTGGATCTGAAGATCTCTGTTGAATTGTAAAGCGTTAAGAATTCAGGAACCAGCTGATGGTGTAGTAGTTATGTCCCTGGACTCTCACATGACCCACCGCGATCCGAATCCCGGAAGGTGGCTTAAAATTTACACAGGGCACATGTGCATGCCATGCCCAAGATCCCAGGAGGAGAATGGAGAATGGGAGAGAAGGGACTGTGGCATGGCCATTCCCCCCTAGGGGGTGATTTCTCGCTGTCTCTCTGTCTCTGTCTCTCTGGCTAGCGCACAGGTCCTATAGCAAAAATCTCTCAGGAAAAAAGAAGAAACTTTAGAATTCAAAAGCATTGTCTCAAAACATTTCCCTAAGTGAGCTGACATAAATGATAAAAACACTTCTAGCAGAGCCCCCTAGTGGTCCTAAGAGGCATCGACTATACACATAG